AAATATTTTAACAACCCCCCCCCCCCCCCCATTCTCTTCAAATAAATTACTCTTCCTTAATCCATACACCCTCTTTTCTTGATTGGTTCAATCTGCTTTGTAACATTTTCTCCAAAAGTTACTGGTACCAAGCAATAAACATTGTTTATCAAAATCTTCATGCATTTTAAGTTTTTAACTGTTGAATGTTACTAAAATGTATATTTAAACTATTTCTGTGCCAAAGTTTATATCAAAACATGTGTACAATAAATTAATTTGGTTGTTATCTAAAGAGAGCCTTAGTGGTTGTGAAAAACGTAACTATATCTCACCTTACTCATTAATGACCCTGTTTGAAGATTTTGAACATTCTATACCTTATCATGCTAACAAGTTCGTTAATTGGTGACAGTATAAGGTGATAACAAATCAGATCGACACCCAAAGGAAGAAGGTGTGTAAAAGTAGTGAACTTATTTCGTTAATATTATTTTCTTTGCTGATTGTTTCAATTAATTTGATTATTGAAATTTCTGATTTTTTTTTTTTTTTTTTTTTTTTTTTTTTTTTTGTAGTTTAATAACGAGAAAGAAGTCCACAACAGACTCCTGCGTGACTTGGTATGTATTTTAGCATACTTTTTTTGTTGATTTTCCTTTAATATATGTAATGTAATTCACACGTAATAAAACCACCATAACAGTATAATAACAATAATATATAGTCTTATCTCCCTAGATAAGATCAGCTAGACAACCTCATGGAGCTCAATCTAAATTTTTAAGGATATTAGTTACAGTGACATTTCTTTTATAGGAATCTCTTTCGACATCTTTCTTGATCTTCCTCTATCCCTTTTTATAAGAATAAATATCATACAATATATTCTCTTTATTAGTGTGTCCAAATTGTCTTAACCATTTTTTTGTTATTTTTCCTTAATAAATGTCACATCAATATCTTCTTATGTACAATTACTTTGTATTTTTCCTTATTCTTTTTTTGTATGGACAAACATTATTCATCTTTACATACTCATTAATACTCCACCTTTTTTTTTCTTATCTTGTCTTTTTAGTATCCAACATTTACTATCATAAAATATAGTTGTCATATAGTAGTACAGTAAAACTTCTTTTCTTGCTTAGTAGCCATTTTGTAGTCACAAATAATATTTCTTATCTTTTTTTTTTCTTCTATTTTATAACCACCAAGCTTGCATTTGGTGTGTGACATTTTTGTTAATTTCCACGTAATTTTATCAAAAAGATATCTAGAAACATATACGATGGCGTCTTCTCCGATGTTTACTCCAATGCAAAAACCTTTTGATTCAAATGAATGTCTTAAAGATTTAAGTTTGGAATTAATCTCTTCCTTTAATTCTTCATTTAAAATTATATTATTTACATGAATCATGCGTTTAAGAATAATCTCTTTTATATATTATTTACAAGTATATTCAAAACTAGATTAGACGAATAGCATCTCAAGGCTAACCCTAATATAAATGTCTCATCCTAGGAATTCTCACCCTTGCTACTAATTAACCCTTATCATAAATATCTTGTATAATCCGAATATATTGTCATGACACTCAATTATATGTAATTTTTTAAGTTAATAAAAATTACATGCAACTCTTTTTCTTTATATTTTTTTATCATCTTTCTAGTATTGTAGATATGATTATGTATGCACGTATTTTACTTAACTGCTTCCACCTACCCGCGCATCTAAATTGAATTAAAGACAACATCCTGAAATGGCAATAAATTGTTTTGTTGTGTATTAAAGGATGCAAGAGCAGAAGATCCACGTTTTGCACTGATGGATAATGGAGGGGAGTATGAGTCTGTGATTGGATTCTCAAATTTAGGTCCACGCATGTTTGCCCTGACCCTACAGCCAAGCCATCCTAGTGCCCATAGCGGAGCAGCTTCTGATCTCACCACTTACCCCTTACTTTTCTAGTACGCAACGCATGCTCTCTCGGAAACACCACATTCACTTCATTTTCAATAAGAGTGACTTACGTTCTGTTTAAAATTATATGCAGTTTGTACTTAACCATATATATGCATGTGTGAATTAAATTATTGTAACTGATGAACTCTTATCTGTATGCTATTTATTTTAGCCTGATCATACCAGAAACATATGACGTGATGCTTCCTTTTATTGAGAAATTATATGCTTAGCATGATTATTTTTAGAGCTTTCGGTGAGTCTGTGATGTGTTTTCTATTTGTTAAAGGCTATATTCTTTTCAATATATGAAAAATATTAAAATTGTGTTGAACTTATTTTTAATTAAAAAAACATTTGTTAACTTGAAAATATTAAAACACGAACATGTTCTTAGTAGTTCTTGTCTCGTTAAGTTAACACAAATGTTATATATATAGGTGAGTTCAAATAATACCGATGTAACTTTTACGTACTAGGTATTACACTACTCAATAACTTTATATTAAACATAAATTTTATAAATCTAACCGTTAGATTGAAAGTTCTTTACTCTTAAATCATATATACAAAATTTTATATTAATTCAAGATGATTTGATACTTCATTCTTATAAAATAAAGTTGATGTAATATATATTTCAAAATATAATAAAATATGAACATTTTGATTATCTTCAAGTTGTTGTTCAATTTTAATAAAATTTGATATACACATATAAAGTGATATGAACTTTCAATTTAACGATTAGATTTATAAAATTCACATTTAATATAAAGTTATTAAGCGGTGTAATTAGATTATATTATATATGTATATTTATATATGCAATTTGTATATTAATAATTTAAAATATTTATATATAAATATTAACATATTGTTTTTTTTTAATTTTCTCAAATATATAAATTCTTCAATAATTTATTTAAATTAAGAGATGATAAATAAGAATATAATTTAACCAATAAAATCCTAGATGAGTAAAATGTTCTTATTCACGCACACAATAAAATAATGTTTCTAACCTATACTATTTTCTTAATTGTTTTCTTCTTTCAATCTATATATATATTTTTTTATCTATCTTAAATTAAATTCATTTCAATAGTTCTTTTAACAAAAGTATCTATATATAGTTAAAATTAACTTTATATATCAATTTAAAATTGTTGATTCTAAATTCAAAATAAAAATTAATATATTGAAATTGTTTATATCAAATATTACTTTTAATCGTTTAATAATGTTAAAACTTATATATATAGAGATATATATTTAAATTGATAAACTAATATAATATATAGGTTTGACTATATATGTTGATATAAAAATACAAACTTCATATTCTTACATCTTTGTATATATAAATAAAAAAGTATGAGAGAGGGGAGGGGGGGGAATATGATTGGTATTTTAAGGACAACTTTTATATTAGGGTCAAAATTTAGATATTTTATTTTTAATATTTTAATAATAAAAAGCCAAAAATAGTTTTATTTTTATTTTGTGAATTAATAAGCTTTTAAAAGATAAAATATGAATTCAAATTATATATTTAACATGGAACGTATACTATATATATACTCATTTCCCTTATTAAAACTCATTTCTGTTAGGGTTTGAAAGCAAGTTCCATCTGTTTCAGTGCCTTCTTGTTTCAAGTTTTTTGCTGCACTAAGGGATCGCTCCTCTTATTATTATTAAAACTCATTTGTGCATGCTAGGGTTTCAAAACAACATTTCATTAGTTTTAATGCCTTCTCGATTCAACCTTTTAAGGGAGCTGATCCAATCTTTTAGCCGCATGAAGTTATCTTTTCTTTTTCTACACACACAAGAGAGTTGATCAGAAGAAAAATCTCCTTCTTTTAATTTCTTAATCTGATGAATTTGCAAAAAGGTTCCAACGCATGTGGGTAAATGTGAAATCTCTTTGGGTTTGGGTGAATATTTGAGGAAAGTTAGGATTTTTGACACGCTTGATGTAATGTTAAACCTAAAATCAAATCTCTATCATGGAAATAAAAGGCCTTTTTTCTTTTATTTGAGAATAGAAAACAAATATGGTTTTACTATTGATGCATGATTAACCTTGGTGTTTATATATATATATATATATATATATATATATATTTGTATTTGAGTTTTTGTTTTGCACTGGTCTACGAAAAAGAGACAAAATATTTTGTAATATATGTATGATATAATGGCTATTAATTTTCATTTTTCTGCTGATCACTCACTTGTCAATTTCTAGCAAATATATTACTTAGAATTGATGCACGATAATCTTTGTCTGTCATCTCTTTCTTTATCTTTTTCTCAGTGATTTGTTTATCTACACAAATATATATATTGCACATTTATATATGTTGAATTGGTCTAAAAAGGATAAGCCTTTTTTATCTGCATAGATATCTTTTTTATGAAAGATATATGTAATATGAATAATTTTATTAAGTTTTGTATTTTTGGCTTTCCGAACTTCGACCCTTTGCAAAAAGATGTAGGCAATAATTTTGTTTTTTGAGCTAATTGTTTGTTCATTTTACAATAGTGAACTATTTTGTGGCATCTATGTTTTCAATTATTCAATGATAATATTGGTAAGCACAAATAAATCGTGGGTTTATGCCCTTTTTAAGCATAAATGAAACTATCTTTTTTGTAGCCATCTATTGCATTGAATGAGATGGAAAAAATCTCTCCTGCAGTAGGTTCTTACGTTTCACTTCTATACGGTTTTTAAGAAAATGTTTAGTTCTTACTTTTGGATTTATAAGCTGTAGTTGAATATAATATAGTTAGTTCTAATTTCCGCTCAATAAGAATATGTTAATAAATACATTAATATATTTAATTTAAATTGAGAAATATCCTTAAATAAAAAGTTATTTATATCTATATTATGGGAGTGAAATATTCAAACGAATATAGTAATATTGAGTATTATTAGCACGTGATTAATGAATATATTATATTTTTTTTAGTATTTAGATAAATATAATTGAAGTATTTATAAAAAAAATAACAAAAATAAATTGAAATTTATTGCGAAATTAATAAATAAGATTAAATAAGCTGTAGTTGTATAATATTTATCCCTAATTGCAAAGTTTGTAAAGAGCTTATTTAAACTTATCTTTTCTTACAAGGGATTATAAGGGTGGTGTTTGAGAGAGCTTATAAAAATATTTTATTATAATTGATCTACAATATATTTTTAGGTTATTTTCATATATTTTATGTTATAACTTATAGGAATAGTTTATGTGGAATTTTTAAAATGACTTACCTTCGAATCCTACTAAAACAAAATATGTGAAATATGCTTATTTTAATTCTTTTTCTAAATTAAATTTACACGAACAAATTATAGTTCTTCCTTGATAGCAATTTTTTTTTTTTATATTTTGAATTTTTCATTGTTTTCACTAAAAATATTTAATTAAATAACTTTATAATTTAATGTGTTGTTAGTAATTTCATTTATGCGTTACTAGTAATTTTTCTTCTACGATGTAGTGGTTGAATTTTTTTATTGATATAATATTTTATATACATATATTTATTTATACATAGTGAATATTTTATGTTTATGTCATAATTTTAAGTTACATATGATTTTAATTTTAACGCCTAAAATCATATTTTGGTTATTAAATGTTTTAACTTTTAAAATTATTGATAGGCTTCTGTGTGTTTCATATATATATATATATATAACAAAATTATAAGTAAAATTCATAAAAGGAAAGTAGAGCTTACCAAACTGTGTGTTTTATATATATATATATATATATATATATATATATATAATTTATGATACTTAATTTGAAAAATAAAAATAAATGATAAGTAGTGATTTTTATTTTTATTATTTAGTTAGTTTTAAAATTTTTAATTTATTATTAAACATAATTATTTTTAAAATAAGATAATATGTTATAAGTATTTATATAACAATTAATGCATCTAAATATTTCAAAATTGTGTAAGCGCTTATTAATATACATGTCTAAATGCAAAATATTTATTGAATAAATTCTTCATTAAGTTATTTTCTCCAATATACTATGTAGTCCTAAATTTTTGCTCGGTAAGAATATCTAAATATGTTCATAAGTATATTAATATATTTTTTAAAATGAGAAATAAAGATCCCTAAATTAAAATATTATTTATAGTATATTATGAGAGTGCAACATTCAAAAACGAATGTACTAACATTAAGTTTTATTCGTGATTAATGAATATAGCTTATGGCATATAGTGTAATACCCAAAAAAAAATCATTTTTAATTTAATTTTATTTGGTATCATTTAAAATTTCAAAAATAAATATATGAAACAATAAATTAGTCAGTTTAAAACCATCATTTATATATTTCAAATGAGAAATAATTTACATAATTTTGTAGACAGTTGGAACAGCTGAATTAATTTATATATATATAACAAGTCGACATTGAAAAATTAGATTTTAACAATATCTCTATTGTTAGGCCAGTATTTTATTTGATGTTATTTTTCTATGTTTTGTGTAATAATATTATAGTATTTTATTTCATATAATTGTGACATTTTAAAATTTCAATAATACGTTTTATTTTGTTTGGAATGCAAATTAATTTATTTTAATAATTCATTAAAAATCATTTTTTTATTTGAATCCTAACCTTTGGAGTATAATTTAGTTAAATAAATCTTAACTAAATAATTTTTTTATAAAGATGGGAAAGATTATAAAAATGGTCACAATGATGATTAAACCTAGGTCCTCATGCTTCTAACTATCCCGATTCCTCCCCACCCAACCACTAGACTAATTCTAGTGATCTTTAACTAAATAATTTGAAATGATGCTTATTATTTAAAACTTATTTTATTTCCAAATAATTTTTATATTATAATATAGTTAAGATTTTAATAAAATAAATAAATAATACGACACACAAATATCTTTTAACTATTAACTATCTTATTGATATAAAATATTTATTAATTTTATCAATAATTAATCTCTTTAAAAAAAGTTCTTTCTTTTATCATGTTAGTTAAAGAATTCAAATTTAGTAATATTATAATACTTTTTTAATATTTAATAATTGAGATATTTTGTTAGTTATATTAATTAAGTTACGAACTATTAGAAATGGATTACCATATAAGGTTATCCAATTATTCTGTTACAATTAAGTTTCCATTCAGCGCACAAGTCCTCGTGTTCAGGGACTAATTATTCGTATAAAAAACGACGAATTATCAGAAATTTCTAAGATGGTTACTATAAAAATATATAAATTTAACACATTAATCTGTAATTGATAGCAAAATGATTTTCTATTTTTATACTTTGAAAGCATTTAAAAAAAATAAATTATAGTTGTGAAAATGTAAAAAAGAATATTTAGGCGAAATTTGTGACGAAATTTGTTATTTAGGTGTGAAAAAGGAAGGAGATGTTGTGCGATCTTAACTGAAGGGTAATTGAGATTTGAGAGTAATTAAATTAATTTAGTATTAAAACGTGGGTGGAAGGAAAGAAATCCCGGTTGATGGCAAGAAACGCGGTTGGAAGGGGTTTTTTGTTTGTTGCGGCTTAAAAGGCTAAAACCCTCGTATTGAGTGTGAGTGACACGCATAACAGCGTTGAGGGGGTTTTGGGTTGAGACTTTAGACTGAGACACAGAGAAGGAGGCGATGGGGGCTCTCGCTACATTAGCCCCTTGGATTCCCGAGGACGATCTTCTACTCAAGAACGCCGTTGAGGTTCTTCTTTTTTCTTTCCTCCTTTCAATTTAAACCTCTTTTGCGCCTACACCATTGCCTTCTATTCTTAATCTTTCACATTCACTTCGTCTCTCGTTCAACTCGTAAATAATGCTCTGTCGCTGCGATTTTCGCTTCTATTGTTGCAGTATCGGTCCACGGTATCATGGACTGCAGCGGCGACTGTAATTTTAGAGAAATAATAATCTCCTGTTTTTTTGTTAGGCTTTTAAAAAAAAGTTATTATTTCCCAAGAGAAATGTTGTTCGCAAACACATGCTGAATATTGAACGGATCTATATTTGTGTTATTTTCTCTTCTGGTTTTCGTTTTAGAGACAAGTTCAGGATTTGTGTTCAAGTTGAAGTTAATCTTTAGGTTTTTATTTGCAGGCTGGTGCTTCCTTGGAGTCACTTGCGAAAGGTGCAGTGCAGTTTTCTCGAAAATATAGTATTAGAGAAATACAGGATAGATGGTATTCTCTCCTCTATGATCCTGTCATTTCTGCAGAAGCCTCTGCTCGAATGACAAATTTTGAGCTTTCGGCTTCGCCTCTCCCACCGAAGTTCTACAGTTTTGGACACTCGAAAGAAAAGAAAGCTGTTTCTGCTAAGAAAAAGTCTGAAAGTGTTCGCAATTTGTATTACGCCAGGCGCAAAAGAATCCGTAATAATGTGTTAACTTCCATGGACTTAAGTTTTCTGGTTGATCCGGGGAATGGTAATTATGCAGTGAATGGAAATGAGCCTTTATCTGAAAATTGCTTGCCTGAAGGTGGGCCTTTGGATCATTTTTCAAATCTTGATCCTGCTCAGTATGCTTTTCCTGAAAATGTGATGGATGATAATGTTGCTTCTGATGGAGTTACCGCGGGTGTGTTTTGCCCTGGAGTTGTACTTAAGGAAGAACATCAAATTCTTGGAGATAATGTGCCTCTGAGTGGAGCTGTTGAGGATTTCGATGTTCCTAAAGAATTGGCTATAGATGGGTGGATTGGGGATGATAATTTAGAGAGAGTGCCTTTGCCCACTTTGGATCATATCAACAATGACGCTGGAAATATGTGTTCAGAGTTTGATGAAAACAATGGATTTGATTCACCTGAGTTAGAGTGTGGAACATCATTTAATTTATCTCCATTTCCTGAAATGCCAGTCTGGAGAACAGACGAGAGCATTCAAGAACCTGATATTACATGTGATGTTTTTAATGATACTATGGCTTGTGGGGAGGCTTATTTGGAAGAACTATCAAATTCTCTCTTCAACTTTAGTAGTGAGGAAGAACTCCTTCTGATGGATGTTGATGGAAGAGAAGGGATTGACAAGTCTTACTATGATGGTCTGAGTTCACTCCTACAAACTTCTTCAAATGATGTTAATCCAGATCAGATACCTAAAAAGGATGAAATTGAGATGTTAATGGCCTCACAGGAACATGTTATAAATCAGTCGGTTTCATGCCAAAAAGAAGTAGATGACAACCCAGGGTCAAGCTCTGGTGGTGTACAATCAAGCTCTAGTGGTGTACTGGTAGTTTACAAATTAGAGTTCCAAATGCCATCTTCTGCCTCGGCTAAAGACTCCCAATTTCCCGAACTAATTATTGAACCTAGTACCTGTACATTAAACGCCGAGTACCAAGAAATTCCATCCAATGATGATGTTTTCCTTCCATTTGATGTACCTCCTGTCATATTTCCTCCTTCAACTAAATCAACTTTTAAAGAATCCAATAAACCAATTTCATCATCTGTTCAAGATTATGGATTTACTAAGCATAGAGCTAGTGAAAGAGGTAAACCTTCGATGCATGTTGAACAGAAAAACCATGTAGAATCTCGTGCATCATCTCAGATGACAGGATCTCCTTGCTTCCCGGGACCTGTTGGTGGTTCTAAGGTAAAATGTGAGTTGCCTGCTAATCATGCATCACACACAGCGTCTAGGATTTCTGTTACTGTTTCTGGAAATAATGCTGCGAACAAAACAGATGCTCTTCTGCATCCAAATAAAAAGGAAGCTACCAACGTTGGCTTGGCGAATGATCCAAGCAATCATGTGGCCAGTTCTTTCATTAAGAAATCTACTGTCAATTCTGATGACTTCAGAAATCATCCTCAACCTAATGGTTCTATTATGAAAATTGAACAAGATTTAGCCTTGCCACTTCAAGATCACCTGTTGCAACATGCTGAAGTGGGACCCTCTGGTGTTCTTGAGTCAGAGCTGGTGGTAAATCCTCCAACATTAGATGAGGAAGAGGAATATATAGAGAGTGATGATGAGCTTCCGTCTTATTCTGATGTAGAGGCAATGGTAAGTTGTACTGCATCAATCTTTTTGTCAATGGTTAACTTTGCCTTTTCCATACCTGTGGCCATTTCTCTCATGCTCATACTTTCCTACTACAGGTTCTTGATATGGACTTGGATCCTGATGATCATCAGGATTTGTTTTATAATGAGGAAGGTATTACACAGCCATGGATTTTAATTGCTGTTACTTTGTTTTATTTATTATCTTTTTCTTCTTTGGAGAAGATATATGGAGATACTGAAAACAAAGTGATGACCCAACTAAATGGTATGGGAGTGTGCTTCAGTTACTTGGGCTGTTGACATCCTCTCAGGGCTCAGTTATCTTACATTCTTACTGATAGTTGCCCATATTTTTACATGATGTCTTCACAAATTGCTAAGTAAAGATAAAATGTGAGGCATTTTTATATTCCAAGAGGTTGCAATGCGCAAATTCTCTTTGCAATGATTTGCTGTTCATTCGAGAAGTGACAACAGATCCTGCAAGTCATTTGTGAAATATGTGGAATCTGTGGAATTTTACCAAATATGTCCAGTGTCTCCATGCATGTGTTTGTATGTTTGCCTTGATCATCATATATCCATTTAATATGCTTGTGGAACTCGTTGAATATTGCTTTGATTCTTGTGACTGTAATATTTACTCTAAAATCAATGTTAGCATATTAATTTTTCATTGTTACTGCCACTATCTATTTTCTTTTATTATAGCCTAACAATATGTTTTCTAATTACAATTTAGTATCAAGATATCAACATGTTGAAAGTAAAAGAGCTATCATGAGGCTGGAACAGGGTGCACATTCTTGTATTCAGAGAGCCATTAATTCACATGGAGCATTTGCCATTTTATACGGTCGCCACTCAAAGCATTATATTAAAAAACCTGAGGTATTTGAGCATGTAAACTGCTTATTTGGTCAACTTGTCATTTGAGAGATTTTTTCATGGATTCCTTTTCAAACAATCGAGCCATACCTAGCTGAATATTTTTTTTTCAATAACATCTGCAAAAAAAATCTCACAAGCATTATATCTATGGGCACATACACATTTAGTTGCTTTATTCAGATTTTGTTCCTGACTTGAGGCAGCAATCTGCTTGTAAATTATTGAGCGAGTTTTGTGACGAAAGTCAAACAATCAAGGAAGGAGTAGTTGGACAAACCTATTCTGCAATTATAAGAATACATGTTCTTTGTAAATAGCCTTGCACAGGGATATATATATATATATA